AAAAGAAAAAAAGTAAGCTGGGGCCTACCCCCTGATAAGCAGGCAGGGTCACTGAGAAGTGGTAAAGACAGCACACTTCTTTAAAGAGAGACCCGTTCAGGAGCTGTCAGGCCTGACAGCTACCTGGGATATTCCAGTGTTCTACCTGAAAATAAAACCCAACCTCATGTTGAAGAAACCAAACATAGAAATTAGCAAGACATCAGCCCCACGACTAGACAGAGAACCGGCCTTGCTCTGGAGACTCGGTAGGAGCGGAGACACTAACCTGAGTGTGTGTTGGGAGAGGGCTCCTTGCCCCTCAAGGAAGCTGTGCATCGTACTCACCTTAAGCTGCTCCATCTTCAGAGGATCTGGACACCTTAAGATGCCAACTGAGATGGCAGGTGCAGGAGGGTGAAGAACTGAGGTCAGTCAGGGTCAATGGCACAGACAGACCAGTAACAAAAAGAGAGCCCCTGGCGCATTTTAAACATCCATCCATACATACATCCATACATACATACATTAATGTACATTTGGACCCCACAGCACTGTGTGGACATGAGGACAGCTTCTGGGAATCAGTTCTCTCCTTCCACCATGTGGGTCCCAGAGACCAAACTCAGGTTATCAAGCTTAGAAACAAATGCCTTTACCCGCTGAGCCATCTCACTGGCACCTTCCCGTGGCATTTTTGTTAGAGGCTAATGTTTCTAACTGTGGACAAAAGAAAGTTGGATGAAAGACACAGTTTTATCTTTTTTTTTTTTGGTCTTTTTGAGACAGGGTCTCCTTGTAGCCCCAGCTGGCCTGGAACTCACTATGTAGACCAGGCTGGCCTTGAACTCATAGAGATCTGCCTGCCTCTGCCTCCCAAGTGCTGGGACTAAAGGCGTGTGCCACCACGCCTAGCTGCTATGTCATTTTTTTCAGACATTTGTCTGATAATATTTATTGCCTATTTATTGCCATTGTTACTAGATCCATATTCTTGAACAGAACATCTTGCAACTGGCAAGTTTCGATGACTTGAAACTTGGCTGTTTTTCTTTTTCTTTTTAAATTCCTTTTATTTATTTGTTTTCATTGAATTTTTGTGTATTTCATACAAAACATCCTAATCTTTATACCTACGTCCTCCCTCAGAGATAAGGTGTTTATTGGGCAAAGGTGCAGGTACTGATAGTGTGCGGTGGGGAGAGGGCAGAGGTTCATCCTTTGCTGTCAGTGATGAGAGGGATGCTCCCGCTCTGGGAAGCAGGCACCAGCTGTGGCTACATCGCCTAAGTAACAGCTTGAATCATAAGCCTCACAACTTTCACTGACGTTTCCCCAGTCACTTTGTTTCGTGTCCGTCCTCCTCCGTGTTTTCTCTTTCTCTCGGTCCGATCAGGGATTGATTGTTGGATCTTAAATCCAGGACTCCCTGTCTGGAAGTGATTAGGAATATTACTTGTGTCTTGGCCATCAAAGCTTGTCGTATGACTGACAGGCCTAGAACCTGCATGTGTCCTCTCTGCAGCCTGTTCTCTTTCTTTTTGACAACCTTTTCCTTTATCACCCCAGCCTCATACACCAAGTGTAAACCCACAACTCATATCCTGTGGCAGACTACAGCTCACATTAGCTATCGAATGCAAATGAGTTTCAATCAAAGGAGAGAGGAAATTAAATTTTTCACTGTGTATCTTCTCTGATTGGCCTTAGAAGCCTTTACTGCCCTTGGCACACTGGTATTTTATGTGGGCAGGGTGAAACTGGCTGTGGTCGGGGTGAGACTTTAAGCTTTTGATTTTTTTCCCCTTATTTTGAAAGGGTTAAAAAGATGGTATGTATTTTGGTGTGATTTAAGTATTAGTATTAATTTTTGTCACACATGTGTGAGGATGAAAATATCACCCCGTCACTGTTACTAGATCCATATTTTTGAAGAGAACATCTTTCAATGGGCAAGTTTCAATGACTTAAAATTTGACTGTTTTTCTCTTTCTTTGTAATTCCTTTTATTTATTTTTTTTCATTGAATTTTTGTGTATTTCATAGAAAATATCCTAATCTTTATACCTACCTCCTCCCTCATCAGCACCCTCCCATAGCTCCCCCTCTCTCACTGGATTTCATAATTCTGTCATTTATGTTAAGGCCCCACTGGGTCAAGTTGGTGTACCCAGACGACCCTCAGTGAAAGTCCATCCACTGGGGACTAGTCAGCCTGTATAGAGTCACGCCCTTAAAGATCAGCTTTCCCTCACCCAGCAGTAATCAGCTGTCAATAATTCTTCTGCTAAGGTTGGGGCCTGCTGCCCATTTCCCCAGTCCTGTGCTGGGTTTTTGTCTGCTTGAGCTCGGATGGGTCTTGTGCATGTTGACACCATTGCCGCAGATACATATGAACAAGGTTCCAGGACCCTGTAAGACTGTTTCCATATGGTCATGCACCTCCTCCCCAGACTCTTACAATCTTTCCGGCCTCTCCTCCGCAATGGTCCCTGAGACCTGGGTGGGTGGAGTTTAATATAGGAGTCCTGTCCAAGGACCCACACTCTACAGACTTATTCTCTATGCTTTGGCCATTTGTGGCCCTTTGTGGTCATTGCCCCCATCACATGAGGAAGCTTTGTTGATGAGAGTTGAGAGATGCGTTAACATTCTCTCTACCCCTTGTTCCACTGTGTTCTGTGAGCCTTAGGTGTAGAGGTTCCACTGAAGATGTGTCACTTAAGGTTGGGCATTTCACAGACACTTATTCTCTGTGTGTGACCAGTTGTGGAACTCTGTTAATAGTCTCCATCGGTTACAAAAGAATTTTCTTTGATGACTGGTGACTGACATACTTGTCTGTAAATGTAAGGATTCATTTTTAGCATACAGTAAGAAATTACATTTGTCTAGGGATGCGGAAACCTTGGGGTTTTCTCTAGAATCTCTGACCTTTTAAATAGCAGCTTGAGATATAATTCACATGCTCCGAAATTCACCCTCTTGAAGATGATAGTTCAGTGGGTTTTCTCACCTGAGTCACGGTGTGCATGTTTTGCATGTGTGTGGGGGTGCACATGTGTGGGGGTGCATGTGGGAGCCTGAGGTTGAGTTCAGATCTCCAGCATCATCCTTGATCGCTCTTCCATCTTATTCATTGAGGCAGAGTCTCAGTCAAACCCAGAGCTCACCAGTATGGCTAGTCTTGTCTCACCAGCCTGTTCTGGGGAGCTCTTCTCTGCCCTCCAAGGCTGGAATTACAGGGGCCACCTCACCTACTGCATTTTGTGGGTTCTGAGGATCCCATCGAGTGGTTATTCCACATTTTGTCATTCACCCATCACCTGATAGACACTTTGCTATGAACATCTGTGTGACACATCTTCTGATCTCTTGGGTATATACAGGAGTGGAATTGTTTTGTTTATAAATGGTGTTTAATGACTGGAGGAATGACCAGACTCTAATCAAACTAGCTAAAGGTTCTAGTTTTTCCTCATCTTTGTCAACACTTGTCATTCTCTCTTAAATTGTATTTCTTCTTTGATTTAAAAAGCATCTTATCTATTGCTGGTGGCACTGCATCCTTTGGTTGTAGGACGTAGACAAACCAAGCTTGCTCCCTGCTGGCTGGCATTCACAGTGCTGGAAGGCACCAAAGGAGAGTTGTCATCACAGTCTTAACTCAGCTGTGTACACTGCATGCTACACTACTGAGCTGTCAGCAAGATGTACCCACTTGTGCCGTAGCAGCAAGTTATGGGGATAACCAGTCACTCTCTGAGTGAATTTGAGACTGATTCACAGGAGGGAACACATGTCTGGTACTGTAAACCTGGTCAGAAGGCTGTGACTGGGGAGGTCATAGGCCCTAGTGGGAGAGCAACCGCTGTGGTAGTGATGAGTGGACATGATGCGCCTATCAGCTTTCTAATTGTTATGCTTATGCCCATAGATTACTGCTGTCAGCTTTGTCAGAGAAAATGCTTTTTAGGGTAGCTGACCCTTGCTGCAGAGATGCATAACTGGTCAAAGTCCCCAGAGTAAGTGACTGAGGAGTGCTCAGCCCTAAATGGGACATCTGTATCACCCACCCCAAGCCTCAGGGAACACCACAGAAGAGGGAACAGAAGGGATGTAAGAGCCAAAAGAGGGAGCCCATGACTGCTCTTAACTATTTTTATTATTAAGATTTGACATTATATATTGGTCTCCTTAATAAATAATGAAGGTTTACCTTATGGTTTGGAGGTAAGGAGTTAGGACAAAGCCTTAGACTGATCTTAATTTGTGTTCTTAAGTAGTGTTCCTGCCTGAGCTTCCCAAGCATCTGGGACTACAGGAGCCCAGTCACATCTTGCTTACCTTCAATTTTTTTATTTGTTTTTATTTTTATTTTGAGACAGAGTCTCCCTGTAGGTGGGATTAAAGGCACAAGCCACCATGCCCAGCTCTCTTCAAATATTTTTTTATTTTTTGGTCTTTTTGAAGCAGGGTCTCCCTGTAGCCCCAGCTGGCCTGGAACTCATTATGTAGACCAGGGTGGCCTTGAACTCACAGAGATCTGCCTGCCTCTGCCTCCCAAGTGCTGGGATTAAAGGCGTGCTCCACCATGCCCAGCTTCCCTTCAAATATTTTTATAGTGAACTTTTTGTAGTGTTATTACCCTTGCAGTTTTTAGTTTTTAATTTAATTTTATGTTTCTGAATGTTTTGCCTGCATGTGTGTGAGTGTACCCATGTCATGCAATGCCTGAGAGGCCAGAAGAGAGCATCAGATCCCCTGGAACTGGAGTTAAGGGCAGTTGCTAGCCATTCTGTGGGTGCTGAGAATCGAACCAGTGTCCTCTGCAAGAGCAGCCAGTGCTCCTGACAGCTGAGCCATCTCTCCAGAAACACTCTCCCCACCCACCCCGCAACTTTCAGGTTTGCAGGGCTGAATAAAGTACCATTAAATGTCATTGTTCTTAGATTATATATATATTTTATTTTATAATGAGTTATAAATATATAAATATTAAAAATAAAGCCATTAAAAACTCATAAATTAAGACATTCAGCTTCTGCACTGTTATATTTCTTTTGCATCATCCTTTTCAGGCTTTCCAAGAAGGTTTTCAGTGTTATCTGTGTGGATTCACTCACGGTGCAGTTGCGCTGTAAAAGAAACATTTCATTAGCTTACATGAGTAAGCATTTGAGTCTTGCTGTCAGGCCTGTCTGCTTGGTGCTTGCCAGAATAACAGTCAAACCAAGGCCTCGCTGTAGCTGGACACAGAGTTTAGCATGTCACAAGGCCAGCAAGATTGCCTGCTTTTTGGCATATGCTGTCAGCACTACTGGTCTACCATCAGGGGTGCCACTGTATCTGAGGTGGCGTGTCACAGCTAGAGGCCATTAAAGGCAGTGACAGAAGGCACAGGCCCAGACCTGGCCCTTTGCTGCATTGGAGCCTCCGTGTGGCTCCCTGTCCTGTGGAACAAGATGGGGTCATGCTGTCCTTCTGCCCAGGAAGCCACCGCACTTCTACAGGGCACTGCACGTGGGAAGGCACCTAAAGCTGACCTCTAAGCCCCTGTTGCAGTTTGGGTCTCAGTTCTACCACTTGACAATTGCAGAGCTTAGGTCAATCACTTAACTTATGAAAGTTTCAGCTCCTTCCTTGGGGAACCACCGTGCGGTGACAGTGTCGACTTCATAGGTTAATTAAGATCTAACCACCTACCTCCCCATTCCTACCCGTGCAAGCCACTGCTACCTCTGTTGTGGTCTGCTGTGGTGGCCTTCCAATGGGTCAGCTTGGTCACTTACTCCCCACAACCTCCTCAGGGCCACACAGAAGCCTCCATCAGCACTTTCCACCACACAGAGCTCAGCATCACCTCTGCCCTGCCGGGAACTGCTTGCTGGCACAGCATCAGCCCATCTGCCAAACCCGCCTTCCTCTCTCTGATCTAGCCACACTCGAACACCATCAGTTCATGTCTGCTTTGGGCCTTTGCACAGGACTCATCAGTCATGTAATATCTGCTCAGAGAATCAGCCCGCTCCCCAACGACCTGCGGTCTTTACAGCTTCATTTTTCTTTCTTTTTTTTTTAAATTTATTATTTTTATTTTATGTGTACGAGTGCATTGCCTGCATGTATGTGACTGCACCAGTGTCGTGCAATGCCGAGGAGGTCAGAAGAGGGCTTCGGATTCCCCTGGAACTGGAGTTAAGGTTCATAGCCACCATGTGGGTGCTGGGAATCGAACCCGGGTCCTCTGCAAGAACAGTCAGTGCTCTTAACCGATGAGCCATCTCTCCAGGCCCCTACTCCATTTTTCATCACAGCACTATCATGACCTGACATCAGATTACATGCTTATTTCTTCTATCTATCCCACTAGAACATTCCATGAGAATAGGACCTGTCCTCTGGTCTGAAAGAACACCTGAACAGAACTATCATGGTTACTCCAGGGAATCGTTTGGAAATGTGGAGCCATATACAGCTTGGCTTACCAGCTGGGACATGCTGCAGACAATCCTGTAGACTTTTTGCAAGTCTTTGAGAACCAAGGTGTTGTTTTTCAAGCACGGAATATGTGAGTTATAGAACTTCCGGAGCACCTTCTGCGTCCTGCAGAGGATCTTCTCCTCAGTGGTGTTCTGCAATGAGAAATGACAGCTGGCCATGGGGTGCTCAGTTTGGAATATGGGAGGGACATTTTTCCACTCCAGGGGTGTGTCTGCTTAGCCTCACTCTGTGGCTCTGTAGGCAGATACTCCCCGGATCTGAGGGAGGGTGGCTGGGAGCAAGCTCTCTCTCTCTCCTTTACTTGCAAATGCAGTAGCCGTCTCTGTAGAGCCTCCCAGTTTCTTTCCCTTTGAGGGTTTTACTGAAGGGGTACCTTCAGTAAAGTCATCCACCTAGGTAAAAGGCAGAGTGGATCCACCTGTCTGTAGCCTTTGGCTATGTTTGTACCCCATGGGCGCTCCTTCCTGTCTGAAGTGTCCATGTGAGCTCTTAGCCAGATACCTCGCTTGTTCCTGCGTGGCCCTGGACACACGTCATGCCTGCTGATTGCTGAGTGCCCACTGGGGCCATGCTCCGTGCTGCCCTCCCCCAAAGAGAGAGCAGTATCTGACGAAGCTCATGGTTCAATGGAGTAAAGGTACTTCCCCCAACAGCAAGAGACAGAAGTCCAGTGTGGGGTAACATGCCCATAGGCCAGGCTCCTGGGAGAGGGTGCCATTGACTTGGGCCTTGAATAGAGCTTCAGTAAGGAGTCTTTGCCCGTCTTTGGTGGAAATCAGGAGTCCCCTGGTTCTTCCTGGGGACCTTGGGTCTCAGAAGACAGAAGGTACAGGTGGGAAACAGGTCTTGTGGGGAACCTGAGAGAGGGATGGTCACCAACTATCCAATCTGGTGTGCCCCCTCATTTCCCCCTGAGGACAGGCAGAGTGAGGAGAGTGTCTCAGTGTGAGCCTGATCTCTGTATACCTTAGGGAAAAGCTATCTCTAGCCTGTGCTAGGTCATGTGCACAGCCCTGGCTACTCAGTGTGGACTGTAGACAAGCACCAAAATGGCACCCAGGAGCCAGTTAGGAATGCAACTTTCAGACCCCACCCTAGGCCTGTTGGGTCCGAATGTGCAGTGACCAGACCCCAGGGAACTGACAGGAGCCACTGTGAGCAGCTTCTAAGTCCATACAGGTGCCTATGTTTTTCTATTAAGGTATGTGTAACAAAAGTGAACTCACTTATTCCACCAGCCAGGCACAACTCCTATACTGTTAATATTTGAGTAAATATCAGGGCCAAGAATACAGCTCACTGGTAGAGCCCTTGCACAGCACGTATGAGGGCTATGTTCAATGCCCAGTACTGCAAATGAGGAAAGAAAGAACTGGGTGTAGTAGCTTACAATTTTAATATCAGCACTCTGGAGGCAGAGGCAGGAAGATGTTCCTGAGTTCAAGGCCAGCCCATGGCCACTAACAACCATCTGTAACTCCAGTTCCAGGGGATCTGACGCCCTCTTCTGGCCTCCTCGGGCATTGTGTGCATGGGTGCACTTACATACATATAGGCAAAACACGCCGCTCATACATATAAAATAAAAATAATACATCAAGCCAGGCGTGGTGACACACACCTTTAGTCCCAGCACTTGGGAGGCAGAGGCAGGCAGAATTTTTTTAAAAGTATCTTACTAGTGTTTTGTTTGTTTGTTTTGTTTTGAGGCAGGTTCTTGCTGAGACAGATCCTGTAACGTTCAATCCTCAGCCCCCAAGTGCTGTCTTTACAGGCATGCACCATCATGCCCAGCATCCCATACTGCTTTAATTTTTTGATTTTTTTTTTTTTTTCGTCTTTTTGAGACAGGGTCTCCCTGTAGCCCCAGCTGTCCTGGAACTCACTATGTAGACCAGGCTGGCCTTGAACTCACAGAGATCTGCCTGCCTCTGCCTCCCGAGTGCTGGGATTAAAGGCATGCGCCACCACACGCAGCCCACATTGCTTTAATACACTTTGTCCCCAAATAGGAGCCAATAGTTGACGCTGCTCTGTAACTTTTCACACTTAGCGTAGACTAGGCATTTTCTTGTCACTCAATAGCCTCCAAGAACGAGGAACTGAGGGCCCCGCAGACACCCCTGTGCCCATTATGTGTGTGCACCATCATCTATCAGCCCCCCACTGTGGTGGATTTTTGCTTCATACATAATGTGGCATTGGGTCATCTGGTGTTTGTTGATGTGCCAGGGCTGGAACCCAGGGCCTGCACACAGCAGGCCGGTGTTCTACCTCTGCGCTACACCTTTAGACTGGGTTCACCCCTTATTTCTGAGAACCAAATTCTAGATGCATAGACTATATTTTAAGAGTTTTCCTGGAAGATCTTGACCTTGCATAAGCCACCAGAATTCCAGACACAAAGGGGTGTCTCACGTTCAAGTGCACTGTGATGTCCCAGGGCAGGGATGGAAGGGCAGTCACTTGATGAACTGGTTGAGAAGGCCCTGCTCCCTGACTAGCTGGGACTGTAAGAGGGCGGCCAGGGCGTGGGTGAGCAGAGGAGGGGAGGACAGGTGGGAGGCACGTGGCCTAGTAAGTAACAAGAGGACCTCCCTGCTTATTTTTTTCATCAAAACCAAGTGACACTGGTCTAAAACTTGGGCTTGGAGCTTAGGCATTAAACTGCCTGTTCATTTTGAACAGTACACAGTCACGTATATAGTATGTAATAAAAGAGAAAGCCTCTAAATAGATTTCTTAAAGGATTTTCTAAAAGTAACTAAGATAAAAATGGAACTGGGAAGACCCTGCATCAAGCAGGAAAGTTTCACAAGAACTAGTCAAAGACCCTAACATTTTAGTCCCGTCGATTTTGCCACCAAGCATGACAGTCCACTCTTCCCACTTCAAGCTTCTTGCCTGATTGAATCTGTCGCCTGTGGAGGTCTTGTGCCTGACAGGTCTAGCTATGACTCAGGGAGTGCACGGTGACAGCCAGCTGATCTCTTCTGTTCAAAAGACTCAAAAGGTGACCTATGCCTTCCCTACCCCCACCGTAAGCAAATCTGAGGCTCACATGAACAGCAGGAAATTGCCACCCGTGAGGCACCTTCTATGGCAGGAGCCTTTCAGTACCCTAATCTGGTCTCGACTGGCCTCGTTTAGACTCTTTATAGTTTAGTCCTATCATTATTACATCTCACTATCTCTAATTCAACCCAAGTCTAATCAGCCAGTTAGAGACACCTTTGAAAACAAGAGGGGCTGAGGGGACCACTCAGTCACTAGCATGTTTGGCTTGCAAGCATGGGGACCTGAGTTGGATCCCCAGAACCTACGTTAAAAAAAAGCCCTGGGTAGGGTGGCACACATTTGTAGTCCCAATGCTGGAGGGCTGGAGACCTCAGGATCGCTGGGGGTCACTGGCCAGCCAGCCCAGCCTCCTTACCAAGCTCTAGGCCAATAAGAGACCATCTCAAAAAATGAAAACAAAACAAGATAGAGGGTGCTTCTTCATTCATGCGCACCTTTACACACGTCACACACACACACACACACACACACACACACACAATGAAAACTTCAGTGCACAGCACGCTGGAGAGCTTTAGTCTTTCATTCTCTTTGGTAGAGAGGAAATAGTCCCCACTAATGGGCCCCAGAAGCTCTTCCCAGAGTGTGGGGTGCTTACTCTTCTTCAAACGACCATGACTCATCAACACCCAGGCAGGTACTGCCTGTGACACTCAGGATTTTCTTGGTGCATCCTTCCCAGCAAATGCTACCAGGAAGCTCCCCAATTCGGAGATACTGGGATTTTTGATCCCCAATAAGTATCCTAGATTTCAGAAAGATCGTTTCCTTGGGAACTCCAAAGAAATACTTCTCCCTCTTTCCTACCACTTTTGTGGGCTTTGGAGAATAACAACGTTTCCCTAATCAGAAATATCTTATTTTGGAAAGTAAGTGCTGGGTCAGAGGGACAGATGGAAATTAGAGGAGGCCATGAGACAGGTGAGCATGAAGGAGGGCAGAGAAGGCTTGTTCTTGCAACACCTTAGGTGTTGGGGAGGACTGAGGAAGAGGGAAGCCAGCATGCGGTGAGGGGTGGGAGAGGAGCAGGCTGGGTCCACAATGAGAAGTTCCAGGCTTGGAGTCAGGGCTTGACCAGCCACTGGTCCCCCTCAGGTCCATCACTGTGCCTTTAGGATCCTAACAGCTTATGTTAACACTTTTCACTAACTTTCTAGAACTGGCTTCCTTCTAATCAACCCTCACATGACCTTCAGAATCACCTTCATACCTCCAAATGTGGAAACTGAGGCTCTAAGAGGTGTGAGGGCCTGTCAAAGGCCAGACAGCTAGTGGATGGCAGAGCTGGGGCTTGAACCAAAGGCTCTCAGTCCCAGACCTCAGCTCAGGAGCTGGTCTCTGCCCTCAACTTGGCCTGGGAGCGACCCAGTAGACGCAGCCTCTAGTAAATGTTATTTGAGTTAGAGGGACTTAGAGATTTCATATATACTTAAAATTATATACATTAAAAAAAGAAGTCATATATGTGTATGTACACACATATATACACATGTGTGTGTCTACATACACATATACATACATTTATACATATTGGTTCCTCAGAAACTCATCCAGCATCCTGCTCCTGGAATAATCTTGAATGAAACGAGAGTCAGGGTAAAGCCAGGGGAGCAGTCCTATGAAAGGGGAAAGACCCTCTTCACGGCTTGGGGGCTAAGCTGTGACACAGGGCTCTGCTCCTGGCCTAGTACCCGGTCAGGCACATGTGGGAAGCAGGTAGCTGGGAGACCACTGGCAGCTCGAGGCTTTGGGGCTTTCTCAGTTGTGTGTTTCCATGAAAACAGGAACTGAAGTGCACAGAGCTATTGATATGGCTGTTGTCAGTCGTGTGTTTGTCAGAGAAAATGCACTATCAGCTGTCACATCTGTCTCCTCCCACTACAGATGGAGGGGTGGGGGTGAGGCAGAGCAGGAGGCAGAGAGATGCCCAAGCAGAGGCAGAGATGGTTGGACTCCATCTACAAGATGGTTCCAAACCAGGCTGGAAGGGACTTGAATGAGATAGAGCGAGGGTCTGGACAGCAGGCCACCATCTTAGCAGACTGCTAGGTGGACAGGTTGTGAATGAGGAAGGACTCTGGCGATACTTTTCCTGTTGCCATAGGAAGTCTCTTAGACAAAGTGAAAGCTTTCTCAACCTGTAATCTCAATATCTACTTTTGTGAGAGTATTTGGTTTTTCAGAAATGCAGGGCTCAAGAAAAAGTCTCTTATTCAACAAACATGAGTACCTCATAGGCCCTAAGGGCTCTGCCGAGGCTGACAGAACTCTCAAGAGCTTTTCGTGGACTAGATCTGAGTTCGAATTTTCAAGTCCAGGCCTTCTATGACATGTTTCCTAAGTCCAGTGAAATCAGAAACTCCAAAACCCACTGAAGGGTAAGATCAGCCTCCAAAGTGTGAAAAAACACACTTCTTTGGGCCTACTCATTTTCTATCAAGTAACTTTCTTATTCAGACACTTGTGGGTGGCCTCCTCTCCTAATACCCCTCTGTACCAAAGCGGACCTCATGGCAGCTTCTTACCTTGGTTTCTGTAAAGACATCTGGCACAAGCATCTCGGTGCAAGGAGTCTTGGCATGGGCAGGAAGAAGAGGCCAAAAGATAGAGTCAATCCAAGTGGGTCAGAGGAATTTTTAATACTCCCTCACTCCCTCACCCGAGAAAGCTTCCTGGAATTCCGCAGGTGGAAGCTGCGGTCTCAAGAATTTCAGCTGTGCTCCCAGCCCTGCCCCAATCACCAGATACAGACCTCTCTAGCAGCCTGGAACCCCACACAGTTATCACCTGAACACAGGGAGAGATGGTGTCAGATATGGCACTCACCCCTTTGCTTGTGAGCCGGTTCAAAATATGGATGATCTCTGCTAAGTTTTCGCTGTTGCATCCATGGGCAAAGTTGCCAGCACATACTAGGAGGCAGAGGAGTGTGGCAGCCAGCTGGGGGGTGAGACCCATCAATAGATCTCCCGTCAGTGACAATGTGAGACAATTAGTTTATCTGGAGACACCAACAATGCAATTCTGACAAAGATATCTCTATATATAGATTTAAAATTGCTGAAACCGAGGGAAAATGAGTTTACATTGGAAATTTTCGTTATACCAGATTGTCAGTCACTTGGGGCCAATCAGCGAATCAGCGCCTCTCTTCCAGGAGAAAAAATGCCTCAGAGAAACAGATAAATTTTCCTGTGAAATCAGACCAATTGGAAAATGAAACTTTTTTTTTTTCAAAATCTACAAAGTTTCAGCATAGGAAATTACACCATAATTTGCTCTGTAGATTAGTCTTATCAGCCCCGGGGAGCTGCTGCCTTGTGCTTTGTATAGAAGGAAGAGACCACAGGTGTCCGAGTGTGCTAGTGCCATCCTCCTGGGGAAAGACAGTAATATCAAGAAAGGTCGACTTGCACAGCATTTTGGCCTGGTTTCTTCCTGGCATGGGGGGCATCTTGGAAACTCTGGTATCATGGGAAAGCTGACTCGAGGTTCTTCTCTGGTGGAAGACAGATGATGGATGCAGGACTTTTCCTGCCTCAGTCTTCTTGCAAATTGAGGTCTTTGGAAAAGGACAGGTGACATCAAGTGGGGCCTTGTTTGGGGTCCAGCAGATTCATAAGGTCTTTACCAGGAAGGAGGTCCAGGGAAAGTTGAAGGGTCTCCCTCCCAAGGCTGAAGTCTGAAGGAATGGACACTTTTTTGGTCTTTTTGAGACAGGGTTTTCCTGTAGCCCCAGCTGGCCTGGAACTTGCTATGTAGACAAGGCTGGCTTTGAACTCACAGAGATCCACCTGCCTCTACCTCCCAAGGCCTGGAACTAAAGGCATGTGCCACCACGCTCAGCACGACACTTTTTGTTAAAGTTTTTAAAATTATACCTATTTTGTGAGTGTATCTGCATGTCCCACAGCATGTGTGTGGAGGTCAGAGAGACAACTTGCAGGAGTCAGTTCTCTCCTTCCACCATTTAGATTCTGGGGATCAAATGAACTCAGGTTGTCAGGCTCGGCAGGAAGTGCCTTAACCCCCTGAGCCATCTCACTGGTCCAAGAATGGCTGCTTTTTAAGTGGATGTAAGCTTATCTTCTGCTGGTCAGCAAAAGGAGCCACAGTCTTACAGATTCACTAGTCTGTTCTCCGCCACTGTCATCCATTCTGGTTTGTTTGTTTCTTAATTGCTTTTTTACAGGGTCTCCCTAGTCACAGTTACCTGGAAGTCACGATGTGAACCAGGCCTTGATCTTGCAGAGATCCATTTGCCTCTGCTTCCTTGAAGGCTGGGATTAAAGGTGCTGTTTCAGTCTAACACATGTGGACCCTGGTGAGGTACCCATCACCCCCACAGTGAACACATGCCATTTTTGTAGAAGTGGAAGTCCCTGTCCAAGGTCCTCTCCACCCTCCCACCCTTGGTAGAAAAGGATCTGGGGCTGAAGCGATGACTTGGCAGTTAAAAGCACTGGCTGCTCTTGCGAGGACCCAGCTTTGGTTCCTAACACCCACATGGTGGCTAACAAACATCCACAACTCCAGTTCTGGGGGATCTGATGCCCTCTTCTGGCCTCCACAAGCATTGCACACATATGATGCACTTACATACACACAGGCAAAGTATTCATACATATAAAATAAAAATAAATAAAATTTTAAAAATTAAAAAAAGGGTTTCACCCAAAGAGAGCACTGGCATTTGTCTTGGCTCTCAGCCCAAATGAAAACAACCCTGGAAGGCAGCTGTTGCTCGTCACCCATGTTTGGAACCGTAACTGGGTGTTATAGGTTCTTTTTGTCCCATTTGGACTACAGTCACATGTCACTGCATCCGACTTTACAGTGTGCACATTAAAAAAATGAATAAGGCAGCTGTAGTGGCTCATGTCTATAATCCCAGCACTTGGGAGGCAGAGGCAGGGGAACTGCCATGAGTTTGAGGCCAGCCTTGCCTACAAAGTGAGATCTTATCTCAAAGAAATAAAAACTTTAAAAAAATAGTAAAGGAGGAAGGAAGGTTTGTACACCATACCCATAAATAATTTCCATCGATTAAATAGTGATAATAATGGGAAGATATTCAAAGGGCAGGAACAACTTAGCAGCAAAATCTTCCAGGTTATCTTCTAAAGGAAGGGCCTTCTAGAGGAAGGGCCCAGAGAGGAAGCCATTTATTTACTTATTTATGGGTATTGGGGGGGGCAGGGTTTCCTTATAGCCCCAGCTAGAGGGAGAGGGGGGAGAGAGTGACAGCAAGAGAGCGAGAGCGAGCGAGAGAGAGAGAGAGAGAGAAAGAGAGAGAGAGAGAGAGAGGTTTACAACAAATGACAGAACCTCCTTGTGTTCTGCACAGCTCTTTGAAGAAACCAGCTGCACACAGACTCACTTCAGGGAGTCCGAGATGTCCCACAGGGAACGGTCAAGCCTACAGTGTCACAGGTGCTCTTCAAGGATTAGGACTGAACAAACAACGGTGGACCTGACTGGCCATCCCCAGGCCCTACAGCCTGGTTTGCCCAAGAAGCCCTGGAGGAAGTAAAGAAAGGGGAGCAGAGAGAGGGACCTGTTAGAGACCGAAGTTGTCCTGGGAGAGAAGAGCTGCAGTGGCCGGGGTGCAACAGTGGCTTTGAGCTGTTCAGCAGTGGAATCACGTCAATTAAGACCTGGAGCCGGGGGCCTGTGAGATGGCAGCAGATAAAAGCCTGACAACTTGAGTTTAATCTCCAGGATGCAAGTAGTGGAAGGAGAGAACCATCTCCTGCAAGATGTCCTCTAAGCTCCGTGCACGTGAGTGCGCACACACACACACTTAAAAAGACTTGGAGTCAGCCAGCTCTGAATCCCAGCTCTACACACCTGTCTGTGTGACTTTGGAAAATTTACCCTGTCCAGGTGTCCCTGTCAAATGGGGCTAATGTTCCAGTGAGAAGATTTTGTGCAGTAATATGAAGTGTTGGTGCGGTGTCTGGTGCATTAGGAAAACAATATAAAGAAGGACAAAAGCATTTGAAAAACCATAATATGAAATTTAAAAAATCCCAGCCGGAACCATCACGAGCAGCAGCGGTGTCACCCTGTGTTGGATCATGGTGGGGTAAGTGAGGAGTCAGTCTCAGGAGACCCGGGTTTCTGCCAAGGACTGTCCTTCCCAGAGATGGCAGTTCAGGGGGACAGATGGGGTGTAGATGTTGAGAACACTGGGCTGAGGGGTCACTACAGCTCTGGGCGTACAGGAGTTTCCACAGGCACAGAGACCAAGAAGAGATAAGAAGGGCCCCACGACACCCTGGAAATGCTGGAAGAGGGCCAGGCGGCCTGACCAGGAGCTCTGCGCAGGCAGGGTGGGCACCCCCAGGGTGCAAGAGAGTCTCAAGAAGCAGAAGTGAGTGGTCCATGCATCGATGACCAGTGGAGGTGATGAGAGATAAGGGTGATGAAGTGATAAGCAGTGACATCACTGAGGCGGCTTCTGAGTGCGGTGGGAACAGCCATAGACTGGAAGGAACCAGATGAAATGGAACCTGTGGTGTGGCCTACACACTACAAAGGGTGGCTGGGTCATGCCAGGCTATGTGCTACAATGGGGCAAGTTCAGTTTTGATGGAGCACACCCAAGCACAGGCTACCTCAGCTCAGGTTCCTCACACACAAGGACTGACCTCATGTGTCCCCTCCAGCCCAACCCCAGCCTCTGCCTAGGTTCTGCATATGATATCATTGTGGGTGGGGATAGTGGAGATAAGACAAAACTGGCCGTCAGATGCTAGTCATCGAAGTTGGATTATCAGCACAAAATGGATACATTTTGTTGAGTGCTTGAAATTTTCTTTTTTCTTTTTTTTTCTTTTTAGGTAGGGTCTTCCTGTTGCCCCAGTTGTCCTGGAACTCCCTCTGTAGACTAGGCTGGCCTCAATCTCACAGAGTTCTGCCTGCTTCTGCTTTCTGAGTGCTGGATTAAAGGCCTGTGCCACCATGCTCAGCCTTGAAATTTTCCATAATAGATTTTTCAGAAGCTGGAGAGGTGGTTCAGTGGTTAAGAGTATACAGTGCTCTTGCAGAATGCCCAAGTTTGATTCTCAGCACATGCATGGCAGTTCCCAACAGCCTGTAAATCCAGCTCCAGGGGATCTAATGCCCTCTTCTGGTCTCCTCAGGCACAGCACCCACATACACAAACCCACATAGACACAGAGACACACACTTAATTAAAAAATTTTGAAAGGGGACCTAGAGAGATTGCTCAGTGGTTAAGAACACTGACTGTTCTTGCAGAAGACATGGGTTTGAATCCCAGAACCTACGTGGCAGCTAACAACTGTCTGTAACTCCAGTTCCAGGGGATCTAACAGTCTCTTCTGTCCTCCTTGGGCATTGCATGACACAGGTTCACTTAACTACATGCAGACAATACACGCATATACATAAAAAAGATAAAAATAATAAATAAAATATTTTTTTAAACTTTTAAAACAAAATTTTTAAAAACTGATATGGGCCAGGTGTGGTGGTGCACACCTTTAATCTCAGCACTTGGGAGGCAGTGGCAGGCGGATCTCTGTGAGTTCAAGGCCAGCCTGGTCTACATAGTGAGTTCCAGGACAGCTGGGGCTACAGGGAGACCCTGTCTCAAAAAGACCAAAAAACAAACAAACAAAACACCTGATATGGGGCTGGAAGGTGTAACTCAGTGACAGAGCACTTACCTAATACATGAAGCACTGGGCTTCATCCTTAGCACTGCAAGTGTCTGTGGGCAACAAATTTAAACATATGGGGCTGGACCGATGTCTCATAGGGTAAGAGTGCTTACTGAGCAAGCATGAGGGCCCGAGTTCGGATCCCCAGAACCCACATAAAAAAGCCAGGCAACCTCAGATGCACCTGTAATCCCAGGGCTGTAGAGGGCGGAGACAGAGGATCACTGAGGTCTGCAGGCTGCAGCCTCGCTCCAGATTCAGTGAAAG